TCGTTCCCTTTTTTGATTTCTTTTTTTCCCTCTTTCCCTTTCTTTACTCGCACAGTGCCTCCGTTGCTCCTTCCAGCCTGGAGATTCGTTGGGCCGAACGGGAGACACACACAGAGGGAGGGATCAGCAGCTTGAAGTTGCTGTATGATTTACACAGGCGCCCAGACACCCTCCGCCGAAGTTCGGACGGGGTTGAAGGCGATGGGGAGAAAAGATCGGCCCAAGCCGCGGGCGCGGGCGCGGGCGCGAGCGGACTGTGCGGGGGAGGGACAAGACGGGGAGGGGAGCCCCGTTTCCCGGAGGCCATGTGCGTCTTGTTGTGTTGAGGTTTCCGATCTGGGGATGGACCACCGGCAGACGGGCGTGGCTCCGTGCGTTTCGTTGCTGGACGGTCAAGGTAAGGCGAGGAAAAGGAAAGGTACGTGTCTCGAGCCGATGCGTCTCGCGATGGGCTGGGCGTAAGCGTAGCTGCCACCTGCAGCTGCAGCTGTAGTCGGCGCGCGTCCGATGGCGGAAGCTACGCGTAGCTCTGGGCTGTGAGCTGTGAGCTGTGAGATCTCCCCCATGGGTGTTGCCGTGGCAAGGGAAAGAGAGTCGAGGGAGGGCTTCGGATTGAAGGTTGGGGGCGAGGCGGGCGAGGCGGGCGAGGCGCGGGCGAGGCGAACTCTTTGTTGTTGCTATATTGGTTTTATGCGTTCTGGGCAAGGTTGGGGTGGTGAAGGGGGTGCGTGAAAAGGTTCTTGGAGGGAGGTGGAGTCGGAGGCTTGGCTCCCAAGGGTCGCGTCTTTACGAATGGAGAGGGAGAGAGGATGTCGTGTGGCGTTGGCTACGGGAGGTGGACGGAGCGAGACTCTCCTGGTTCCTGTGGGAGGGTTCCTGGGCTTGACGAGCGTCGAGTCGGCGACGAGGGCATTTGTTACGTCTGACCGGTTTACGCCAAACGTGGGAGGGACGGCCGAGCTCAAGTGAGCGGTTCGTGATGCCGTGCGGTGAACAGCAGTCTTCTCTCGGGTGTCATCGCGGGCAGTGGATGAGAGAAGTACGCGTGGCATGTTCACGCGTTCTCCCAGGACGGGGCAAAGCGAAGCGGCCAGAGGTCCACTGGCATTTCCCGTGCAACGATGATCCGGGGGATCGAGGTCGTGCAGTCTTGGCCAGAGTGTTCGTCGAGCGAGGAGCCCTTGGTGCGCTGCACCCTCTGGATCCTGGATCGCACGTCTCTGGAGGCAGTTCGACAAGGTAAAGGAGGCGTCGGTTGGCGGTGCCGGGCCCGTTTCCTCGCCCCGGTCGTCGTCTGCCGGTTGAACCCGCCACAAGCGGCCGAGACCTGGCGGCCTGCGTTGTGCGTATCGAGGCGAGGGAAAGCGCCGAGCCCGGGAGGTTCGAGAGGACGATACTGCAGGTCTGCGTGGAGCGGGTGTTCCAAGAGAATCGCGGGGTGATGTCCCGCGTCCTTGCCGGACAGCTCTTCTCTGGGCGTCTCGATGGAAAGAAAGCTTGGCCGGCTCGAACCGTTCATTCGCTGCGCTCCCTCAGCCTCTTGAGCACTGGATATGGCCAAGGACATGGCCAAGGAGTAGGGAGCCACCCAATGCGAATGGCCGCCGGACGCTCCAGGTCTCGTGTCCGTTGCGCCCCGAGGGCAGTACACATAGGTCTTCCCGCTCCTGGTCTACCTGCTCCACGAACACAGAATCTGTTTCTCGGGAGTACAATGCTCAAGCTCGCTGCCTCGTGCCGTCGGCGGTCCCATGCCGCTGGGCATTCGCTCTTCGTTGTGTATGAGTGCGGGTGGGGGCTTTAGGTGACCACGGCGGCGGGACGGGTTTCGCGTGATGCTCTTGAGTGTGGCTGTCTCCAGGCACGGAAGCTGGCTGCCGCCATTTCAGATGCCCTCGAGTCCCGTCCCGGGGCTCGAAGCAGCCGCCGGGCACAGGCGGCCTGGATGCTGTTCGTGGGCTAACGATGCGCCCCTTCGTGATGCTGTGATTCCCGAAAGTAGGGTTGATCATTTAGCAGTGTTATCTGCTCGTTCCATTGGCGTCCGCGGAGTAGACATTTGTGAATATTCTTGGGGCGGATCTCGGCTGCGTCTGGGGTGCGCCACACTCGGCACAGGTCGACCTGGGTTCGGGTCGGCGTGAATCGTGTCGTTCGTCTCTGAAGCTCCAGCGAGAACCATGAGCTCCGTGGGGGGTATATTCGAGTTTGCATCCCGGTGTCTGCTTCAAATTCTTGCCAGTGAGGCTCAGGGGGCCTTCATACTCGTCTGAGGTTTGAATCCAGGTGTTGATGGAGGTGTAGTAACATGAGGGCGTCTCCTTCAGGGGGCCTTTTGTAGCTCACCAAGGGTTCTCCTGAAAGTCTGTCTCCGAATGAAATCGAGCTTGATGTGTTTGAGCCCGAAGCTGGTGGTCTTGTTGGTTTTGTTGATGTTGTCTTTGGACGGATGGTAGTTTCGGATACGGTTTGGAGAACATGTAGTCGCATAGTCTGCTTTCCCCCGAGCAAGACCTGACGTCGAGGTTGACAAGAGTCGTGGCATGGTCAAGCACCGTCTCTAATCATCCTACGGGCGTGGGAAGAGCTTTCTTTCCAAACCTTGTCCCCACGAAAGGCGGAGGGTGCTAGGCCTCGGACGACGATCTCGCACGCAGATGTGGAGCTACGCAACATCAGTCTCGCTGGTTTTTGACGTGCACCCACCTTGCCAACGGAGGTTTACTGACAGGGGAGCGATGGGCCTTGGCCATGGAACCCCGGCCGCGTGCGAGCGAGTGTGAGGCGGCGGTGGAACGCTGCGTTGGTTGGGACGGACAATGCTCTCTGGAGAAACTCCTTGCCATGACGCCGACAAATCACGAGATATCTTCCTGCCGTCTCCGGCATAAGCGTGGTCTGCCCGCGGCTTAGGTAGGCCGGTTGGTGTTCTCGAATTCTGCAGGGCATTTCACCAAGTCTTCTGGTGTCGTTTGGTCCGACCGTACGAATTGCCCCCATCGCGATTGATGCGCTGAGACCAGAGCAAACCGCATGGCGGTACAGGTCATACGTGCACTTTGGGATTTGCTGCATGCTGCATCGGGTCTCGTCGGGCTTCGTCGAAGCTCTCTCACGGACTGTACGGCTTGTGGCCAGAGTGCCGCGAGTTTCGTTGCCTCTTGCCTCCGTAATCGTCTTGTTTTTGGTGAATGAACTATAGACGGGGAGAGAGAACGACGTCAAGACAAGGAGGTATATTGAGCCTGAAGTACCGTGACTGGGTAGGACTCGCTATCACGATGCGCCTCTGGCCTCCCGGGCCTTCAAGTCTGACCCTATCAGCCCTACCTTAATGCTAGGAAGCATTCACAATGGGAGTGCCGTTCGTGATGTGGATTCCGAGATGAGAATGAGCTGTAATTATACTAAACATCCCTCGAGGCCTGGCTGTGCTCATAGAGCGGCCACGTGCTTGCAGCTCTGGATCTGGGCCAAGCCGTTCTCCGGCACCCGGTAGGGATGTCCTACGTTGTGGTCGTCGGCCTGGTACTCGGATGACCCTTTTTCGAGAAAAGTCCTGGCTCGCCTGCTTGTAGATACCACATGTCAAAGCTGGCTGGATTGCCGCCTTGTTCGTCTGCTCACAGAATCCGATTGTTGGCATGAGCCAAACCTGTGGTTGAGCTGCCCACGTCTCCACCATCGTGGTCTACTTGGTTGCGATCGTGCTCCTTGCGGTGTTGGCCAACGCCTTACTGCAGCTTTTGGTTCTGCTGGACAGGCTGACATTATAGATGGAGCAAGAATTTCTGAAAGTGCTCGAGTAGGTAGATGCCTAGGCTGGGCCGTTGGCTTTCCGAAGCTCAGGAGGTCTGGACGTAGGCATTTTCTTCCTCGGTTTTCACGGCTGGCAAAGCCAATCGGGCAAGACTCTAGCAAAACTTTCAATGTTTGTGTGGTCGCAAGAACGGTGTCTCGGTTCAAGGCCTCCTGGCCCTGCAAGGTAGCGACGAAGATGATTAGAGTAGCAAGCAGCCCGTCTCTTGTGAAACCAAGGCTTTTTTACGGTTGCACGCACACACACACTTTTGTTTGCCACCGGGCTTCTTTGCGGTTACCCGTGGGGGTGTATTATTACATAGGTGCCACTACAAGGAGAATGGGCTCAGAGGTTAGATGTTTGTTTGTCTCTTCTCACTTCTTTCAACCCCATCAGACAAGCAAAGGAACTTTAGATACCTGACGAGTGCAGGATTTACGAGATGGTCCCAACCTTCCCTTCCCCTTTCAACATCGAAAATGGTGATTAGCGGAGATGAATTATGCCAGTATGCCTTGGGTGCCTATCACATCCGGTATCAGGAACCAGGAAGTCAGTCTTAGGACCAGCATGGGTTTAGTGTATGCCCGACGCTTTCGAACCGGTTACGCAGCATAGTCAAGTTAGCGGCCTTGACTTGAACCACGGGAAGGAGCCTCTTCTACAGTTCTTCTGTGCAACTTATACTGCTTTGTCAGTCGGCACTGCTTAATTCCTCCCTACATGTGTTGATGAGTTCGTTTAGATAATTGTGTACAAAAGGAACGAAAGGCGGGGATTGAGGGGGACCGCAGGAAAAGGAATACACTCTCCCAAGACGCACAACGCAGGAGACCACAGACAGGCCGTCAGCTTGCTTTGCTGAGAAGGCTATCCCTCAAGGGGGTCATGGGTTCATGGTAGTCACGTTTACTGGCACACTCACGTAAACGATTTAAAGCAAGTCACGCACGACCTTATAATATCTCACTCCCTGGACAAACCCCTCTCACCATGTCAGTTCATTTGAGTCGTTGACTCACCTCTACCTTGAGGGACAGCTACATAGTGAGAACGCATACTTGTCAGAAGCGCAGGACTCAAAGCCCAGATGGGTCCAGTTGCGTACGCATGCATCCACGGCTGAGACGTCTTTTCAAGGGGAAGGGGAAGAAAGGTGGCAAAGGGAGTAAAAATAAAGTCATGAAAGGGACAAAAGTGGAAGGACCGACCGCGGTTCGAACGCGGGGCCTAGAGATAACTGCGTGGAACTGCAATCTCTCGCTCTACCACTGAGCTATCGATCCTACTCAGATGATTGGTAGGTCGCCTTTGTCGACAAACTAAGAATGGTGCACAGAGCTCAGTCTCCACCCTCCATCCCATCCCACCACAACCAACACGCCAATGAACACCAACATAACCATAAGCATTCACAGTTACCACAACATTCGTTGACTTGATGATTCTTTTGGCGCCTCTTTGATGATTACTCTTGCGTAAGGTAGAGGGATCCCTTTGCTCGCCTTACAGGTGAGAAGCTCCGTTATTGATACAGTATCAAACCCGCTGTGACAGGCGATTGGCTGAACATGCAGGTGTAATAGTTTGGTTGCCAATAGAAGCGTGACAATACATGCTACAAACCCCGAAGGGGGGCATTTAGACTTGTTGCCATCCGTCGTACTAGGTATCTAAAGAACACGACGGCGATGAAGGACACACGAGATGCCTTACAGCCCGAGTCAAAGAGGGCTTGATCTCTGCGACTTTCTCTGTAGCTGACACTTTGAGGAACGGCGGCGTTTATTTTCAGCTTTCAGGGAATTCTTCTCTAGAATAGCATTCTTTGCCGCCCACTATCTTCAGGTGAACTGCAATACAAACAACGACGACCATGTCACACAAGATGTCGAATGGCGTCAAAGACGGTCACTTGCTTGGGATGCCCACTCTTGAGATCTGACACCGACACCGCTTCCTATGCATCAAGTGTGCTCTCGACGGAAACTTTTCATAACCCGCGTGTTAATCAACCCAGACAAAGCTGGTGAAAGACGCCGAAACCGTCCAATGAAATCAAAGAACTACACTTGCGGCCATTTTACATCTAGTATAATGAGACTCCTACAGAAGCCCAGCTAGGATGTCCAAGCGGGCTAACCTGATGAGAGTGTAAACGGCTAGTTCGTCAAGCCTGCCAAGTTAAGCATTCCACTCTGGAACAAGTAAAGGAAGCAGCCGCGTCCACAACCAGAAAGAATTACACCATCTCTTACGGTTTCCCAAATTGGAAACTGGTCTAGTAACAATGCAATCATGAGACACCCCAACAGAGGAGATCCAAAGGGTACTCGAGTCGTCTTGGCCCCAAAACAGACAGCGTCTGTGTGCCATCTCGATGCCAATGTCTCTGAGTGACAGACACACTGGACAATCCAACTCAAGCCCCCGTGACTAAGATTTCCGGTCGCGGGCTTGTACCACGTTGGCGAAACATATCCACTAGCAGGTTGTCTCTCTGTGGGCACTGGAAACTCAATTGAGAGACAAGTGCCAAAAGAGAGCAGAGATTCAGTCACTTTTCCGTCACCTCTCAGGTCAAGGTATCTTGCTCCGCAGGGTTGACTCGCCGCTCACCAGCAGCCTCGCCAGAAACGCTCATGCACAGAAACAACCACCCAGACCAGCCCCCGCCGTACTCTGCATCTCCTCACCCACGATATCCAAGGGGAGAAAGCCGACGCGGCCATAGTCATTCCGCTACAGCTACAGAGTCACAAGGGTACAGCAGCATGCCAAAAGCGGGGTTTCCAACCGATTGGAGCGTCCCTGCGCCGGGTAGCGGCGGCCTCCGGTAGATGGCTAGCGTTGCAGCTGCATCCCTGGCGCTGGTGCATTCCGCCGCCCGCCCGGGCGCTGGGCACGCTGTCGAACCTACCGTTGCGGGGGACCAGCGTCGTCAACCACCGAATCTGGACCTCGAGGAAGCCACACGACAGTGGATTGATTGGCAAGCTAAAACTGGCCAGGCCCATGGATCCACTTCGTCTCCAGGGCAGTGGGAATTCAACTTCATCCGTCTTCTTCTCTTCTCGTTACGCACGCTGGCAACTCTGACTGTATTCCTTCTTCCACCTCTCTTCCTCTTGATCTGGTTTTCGCCAAGTCTCAGAGATCATCGCCATCTACCACTTTTAGACCTGCATCTTGATACCCAAACTAGCTTCTCACGAGACCGAATCCAGCCGTCCAGAGAGCTGGAGCCCCTCTCCCCCGCTCATCCTCATCCTCGCCTTCGTCCTCACCACCGCCTGCATTGTAGCCCAAAATGACGACAAGATACAGAGTAGAGTGTAAGGAAACATGATTCTGCTAGCATTCTGAGACGGTACGGACGACTAACAGTTGTTCAGACGCTCTCAAAACCCACAGACGGGACCAGTTCATAGGTACGGCACCACCGTGGTCATCCCATCTCGTCAGCAACGTCCCGCGGCAAGTGTCCCGAGACTCGGCGTCAGCATCATCAAACCTTCAACGCTCACCGGGTTCTCTCTGTAAAACCTCCATGTTCTTGGTCACGAAGGGTAGCGAAGTCGCTGCCGGTTCCTTCTCGCGGCACCGTTGACAGTCATCATCACCATACTCACTCCACACCATGGCATTTCTGTCTCCTCATCCAGCAAGCTCACTCACACCCCCTGCAGAATGGATCAAGGGCCTCCTCGCGGTCCCCTTTGTTCTCTACTCCCAGCCCACCGGAGTCTTCGACACGAGAGCAACCAGCATCGCCCGCATGGCCGAGGAATCCCACCGCCGCTACGCCGAAATCTTTCGCGACGTCGAGCACATGATCGATGACCACAGTAAGTCCTCCGCCGCCCACGCCATTGTCAACCCCCTCATCCCGTCGTCACACGCCGCATACTCACAAAAGACGCAGTCACCCGCCAAGACGAGGCGAACAACCTCCCCTCCAAGCTCAAGATGCTCGTGCCCAGCGCAGGGCCCTTCTTCACCCGCCTGCCCCTCGAGGCCGCCTTCAACCACATGGACGAGCGCCGCCTCATCTCCTCGCGCCGCTACGTCTCCCCGTCCTTCAACGACGTCCGCCTCATCCTCAACGCCGCCCAGATCATGGCCGTCACCGCCGCCCCGGAGTCCCCGCTCCAGCTCGCCACTTTCGACGGAGACGTCACCCTCTACGACGACGGCGAGAGCTTGGAGCCCTCGAGCCCGCTGATTCGGCGTCTGCTGGGTAAGCAAACACTGGCCCACCCCATCGCCCCTTTTCCAAACGGCCCCCTCACTGCCTTCAACTTTTTGATCACGACGAGAAGACGAATCCCCCTCTAACAACCCTCCCCAGACCTTCTCCGCAAAGACATCAAGATCGGCATCGTCACCGCGGCAGGCTACACAACCGCAGAGCGCTACCACGCCCGCCTCCACGGCCTCCTCGACGCCATCGCCGCGTCCAAAGACCTGACCCCGACCCAGAAGGAGTCCATCGTGATCATGGGCGGTGAGGCGAACTACCTCTTCGAATACGACCCCTCGTCCCCGCACCTTTTGTCGCCGGTCCCGCGCGAGAAGTGGCTCACGCCCGAAATGGCCGCCTGGTCCGAGGCCGACATCGCCGCGCTCCTCGACGTCGCCGAGGCCGCGCTGCTCGACTGCGTCAAGACGCTCAACCTCCCCGCCACGCTGCTCCGCAAGGACCGCGCCGTGGGCATCATCCCCACCGACCCCTCGATCCGCATCCCCCGCGAGTCGCTCGAGGAGACGGTGCTCGTCGTGCAGAAGATCCTCGAGCTCTCGGCGCTGGGGTCCCCCGCGCAGGCGGCCGGCCACAGCGTCCCCAACGGGCCCCCCTCGCCCACGACCCGCCGCCGCGTCCCCTTCTGCGCCTTCAACGGCGGCCGTGACGTCTTCGTCGACATCGGCGACAAGTCGTGGGGCGTGACCGTCTGTCAGCGGTGGTTCGCCGCCAAGGCCGGCCGGGCGGAGCAGCCCATCGCCGGCGAGAACACGCTGCACATCGGCGACCAGTTCCTCAGCGCCGGGAGCAATGACTTCAAGGCCCGGTCGGTGGGCACCACGGCGTGGATCGCGAGCCCGGCGGAGACGACCGAGCTGCTGGACGATCTGATCGCCAAGGTGTGAGACGAGGTGGGGTCTGCCGGTGCCGCCGGAGGTGCGAGAGACGAGAAACGAGGAGAGGAAGGCGGATGTTGGGAGGGGCGACTGGGGGAGGAAGAGTCTGTGGGGTATATACCCGAGGTGGGAGCAGGCGCCGATCGAGACCTTGGTCCTCTTGAACTTTCGCCGTCGCCGGATCTGGGATGTCCGGGAGAGATGGTCAAAGGAAAATGCCAAGGTCGTGGTAAATGATACTGCCGAGAATGGGGGGCGCGGAGGGGAGGAGGTCGGCACAAGAGGAGGCTGCACTCGATTAAGGAACCCCCAAAGGCCGGGATGGGCGTGCCTTGATGTTGAACTGGCCAGGGGGGCGGAACCGTCCAGTTGCTGACCTCTTTGATTTGACCCAAAAGGCGCGGTTATATTGGGATTGTAGATGGAGAACAGCAAGACTGCACAACTATATTGCATCACTGTAATCGACATGGGCCTTATTTGCTCATTACTTGCCATGTAGAGACGCCTCCCTGTGCGTCCACTGAGTACCGTGGCACTGTAAATCGATAACTTAACGTTACGTGAAGTCAACAAGTTTCACTCGAGAGGCACCAGCAGACGGATGATTGATTCGCAATAGGCGGCCACAGCGGACCACGCTAGCAATGTTCGTTTGACTGACTGCTTCTCTACATTGCTCCTCAGCAACCAATTTCCAGATACCACGTGGCGGTCAACTGCAATTGTTGCCTGTCAATCTGAAGATGCCTCGGCCAGGGGATCCATTCCCCTTTGCCTCCATCATCGACGCTTTCCGTGCCGATCTTTCCCTCTTGTGCCCTCCATTGGGGTCCAGGTGATTGCGCCTCCGTCAACACCGTATTCATTGAAAACAACCAAACCAGTTCGTAAGAAGGAATTCCAATCCTCCGGGGGGTATTGTGCATTTTTGTGTAAACACCGTGAAATCCATCCATGAGAAAAATCGAGTGATGCTGCTCCGCAGAGCACTGGGATTTCCGCCCAGCCATCCTGTCTATGTCGTTGAATCGAAAAGCAAACCGCCCACCGCGTGGGATTGTACATAGGAAAGAGGTGAAGGGGTTGGTCTACAGAGACCAAAGTCCAAGTGAATGTTGAATGTCCGTAGGTTTGTACAAAGGAC